CTGTGGAATGAAAGGAGCAAAAGTGAAACTATTTAGAAGGGAAGCACGCCTGGCATGAAACTAACAGAGGACTTTCAGAAATGAATAGAAACATAAACTCTGCTCTCTACCAGAAAACATTGAGGGAGAAATATCTTGCCAATAGTTTTTAGCCATAACACTTGGATAATGGAGGAGGGCAAAGATTTAACCACACTAACGAGTGAAGAATGAAGAAATACAAGAATTAAAGGGGTAGGAGTACATAAGTTTTACTTCTTCCTACTCCTTTTCGCACATGTAATAGAGGTATATTAATTTAGGAAAGAAGGGTACCTTGTTTGTTGTTTTTCTCTCCAATGTTTTTAAACATTGTTTTATTGTTTTTTGTTTTTCTCTTGCATGTTCGAAATAAAGAATAGAAATATATATATATATATATAAACGAGTCCACATCTGATGACTTGAAGCAATAAAAAAAATTACAATTTTGGAGTGGCTTATAAAAGTTTACTCATGAATAAAAACCCTGTATTGCAGCTGAATTAAAACATTTATGGAAAGCCCTGTGCTTCATAATCCATCCAAACGACTCCTGCCAGTTATTTCAATTTCAGGGTGATTACTTTTCTCCATAAGGACCAGGTTGCCTTGGATAGGTTTTATCCTTAATTAATTAATTATTATCTGCTGAATTAATGTATATTTCAGTAACAACCAAAACAGAAGAAGCTACATATTGTAGTTGTTAGATGTTTTTATTATTTATAAGCTTGGTCTGCTTTACATTAGGAAATCCAAAGGATTTATTTACAGCTCTTGTGCGCCCTCTACAGGTTTCAACCCAAGATGGGACTGCACTCTAAGCTTCCAGCTGCAGGTCCCTGAACTGGCTCTGGTTCGCTTTGTTGTTCATGATCACGACCACACTGCCAAGAACGACTTCGTGGGACAGTTCACGTTGCCTTTCACAAGCCTCCGCACAGGTACCCTAAAAAGGCTCTGCTTCATCGCAGTAAAGTGTCACTTTTTCCCCCCAGATTGTTCTTTTGTAACATGTTTTCAAATGCTTTTTCCTCTCAGGGTATCGACATGTTCACCTACTGAAGGCAGATGGTTCCAGTCTGTCCCCAGCAACGCTCTTTATCCATGTAAAAGTGATCCGCAGGGAAGTTCCTGTCAAGACTGTGGCACAGCGAATGGCCTTGGCGAAGGGCAAAGTGTGAACCAGACAAATATACATTTTTCAAGATGCAAATCTTCAGATTAAATGCTTTTTCATGGAAGAAGCATTTAATCTGGGGGGATTGCTGCTGCTACTGTTATCCCCTCTCCTCACCAAGACCTCAAGTGGTCCATTTCTGATCAGCTGCTGCAAAATCCCAGAAGGAAGATCTTTGGAAAAGATGAAGAGGATAGATGACTCTCAGATGCACTGTGAAAAAAAAAAAAGACTGAGGCTTATAAAAGCATCCTTAGTAGGCACTAATGTTTTACTGCTGAATCTTAAAGACTTCTCCATAGAGGAAATTTGTTAGTACAGTTTTTGTAATGTAAATTTCCAAAATGCAACATTTTTTATTTTCTGATTTTAGAGGATGAGAGAGATGAGACACAGAGCACTTTATCATCAGATGCTATGGTGCTGTACAAAGGAAGCTAGCCAGAAAATAGCTCTGACTTAAAAAGTATACTTTTTTGTATCTTAACTCTGTTTTATGATTCACATGTATTAATCTCTTAACTTTTTTTAATGAAGTCTTAGATTTTATTCAGTCCGTCTTACCTAAAAGTGATTTTAATATGTAGATAATATTTATCTGAACTTGATTAGTAGTTGTGGCGTATCTGCCCGAGTGTCATTTCACACATTGAAATAAGTATTAACTGAAGTAGTGTTGAATGAGCGTGTTGAGTCCATGTCTCAGGTTTAATGGTAAACTACTGTTTTTTTGTTCCCCCCTTCAAGTTTATGTTCTCATGTAATGCTAAGAGCAACAAATGTTCACAAACTCTGACCGTAAAAGGTTTATTTTATTTTTGTAATTCTAACATGTACGAGTGAAGGAATGTTGCAGTGTTTTATAGATTTCATCTTTATAAAGCACAGATATCATGGACTTAGACTCTTCTTGTTAATGTCTTTTTATTTGGTTTTGTGTGTTGTTTTTCTAAATGCTGTCAAGTACAGCTGCAGATGTACATTTCTGATCTAAAGTTTCCATCAGCTTATCATGGACCTGAAAATCCTATTCATTTGGTTTAACTGTATTTGATTTAAATTTATTCAAATAGGGATACTGTTTAGATGCCACATCAGCAAACTATTGTTAATGTGGTTTGACTTGGATTGTGAATTTGGCTTTCAGTTAAATTCCCTATCGATCCATCTGCTATATGAATCATAGATTCTGGATAAAGAAGATCGATACATGTCACTTAAAATTATTCCATATAACAAGGTATGTAATATATAAACAGATAACCTTTTATGTCTTATGAACAAACTATATATATATATATATATATATATATATATATATATATATATATATATATATATATATATATATATATATATATATACACATACAGATGTTCAGGACAGCTACAAATACCTTGGGGTGCCACAGGCTAACGGAAACCACGAGGAGATGGCAAGAAAGACTGCCACAGCTAAATACCTACAAAGAGTAAGGCAGGTCCTGAAAAGTCAGCTGAATGGGAAAAACAAGATCCAAGCCATCAACACATATGCCCTACCAGTCATCAGATACCCCGCTGGTATAATAAACTGGCCAAAGGAGGAGATAGAGGCTACTGACATCAAGACGAGAAAGCTCCTCACAATGCATGGAGGGTTCCACCCCAAATCCAGCACTCTGAGACTGTACACCAAGCATAGCGAGGGAGGCCGAGGGCTAGTGAGTGTCAAGACCACTGTCCAGGATGAACAACTAAGATCCAGGAGTACATCAGAAAGATGGCCCCCAAAGACAAATGGCTTGGTGAATACCTCAGGCAGGAGAAAACCGAAAGTGAGGACAAGAAAGAGGAAGGAGAACCATCATGGAGGGACAAGCCGCTGCACGGCGTATACCACAGACAAATAGAAGAAGTGGCTGATATCAAAAAATCCTACCAGTGGCTGGAAAAGGCTGGACTGAAGGACAGCACAGAGGCACTAATCATGGCAGCACAAGAACAGGCACTCAGTGCAAGATCAATAGAGGCCAGGGTCTACCACACCAGGCAGGACCCCCGATGCAGACTGTGCAAAGATGCCTCTGAAACAATACAGCTCATAACAGCAGGGTGTAAAATGCAGGCAGGAAGTGCATACAAGGAACGCCACAACCAGGTAGCTGTCATAGTGTACAGGAACATCTGCCATGAGTATGGGCTGGAAGTCCCAAGGTCAAAATGGAAGACACCTCCTAAGGTAGTTGAGAATGACCGAGTTAAGATCCTATGGGACTTCAAGATCCAAACTGACAAAACAGGTGATGGCTAACCAACCAGATATCGTGTTGATCGACAAACAGCAGAAGAAGGCAGTAGTGATAGATGTGGCAATCCCAAGCGACAGCAACATCAAGAAGAAAGAACACGAGAAGCTTGAGAAATACCAAGGACTGAAGGAGGAGCTAGAAAAGATGTGGAAAGTAAGAGCAGCAGTGGTGCCAGTGGTAATTGGAGCACTGGGGTCTGTGACCCCCAAACTGGGAGAGTGGCTAGCAGATTCCAGGTAAAACATCAGAGGTCTCTGTCCAGAAGAGCGCAGTCCTAGGAACAGCTAAGATACTGCGCAGAACCCTCAAACTCCCAGGCCTCTGGTAGAGGACCCGAGCTTGAGGATGACACATACCACCCCACGAGGGGTGAGAAAACAGTTTTTTATATACATATATATATATATATATATATATATATATATATATATATATATATATATATATATATATATATATATATATATATATATATATGTGTGTATATATATGTGTGTGTGTGTGTATGTATGTATGTATATGTATGCATGTATATGTGGGAAATAACACCAAAATACCAGCACTGTAGGAGCCTACTCTGCAATTAAGAATTGAGACAGATGAATTCAAAGGATGTTTTTATGTTGGTTTTGTGTTGATAATAAGGAGGCACTTCATTCTTTCAGATAGAAGATGGCTTGAAATCTTCAGGAAATGGAGGATTTAATAGTGCATTGAAGCACGTTGGACAAAAACCTTCATTTTAATATCATTTGAGTTTTTCATCTGAAAGCTTTTCATCTTTAACCTCAATCTGTAGTTGTTTATCAACATCCCTAAAGACAGTTTCCTGGTTGTTCTTGAAATATACATAAAGCAACATAAAAAAAAAATTCTAACTAAATCCCAAAAAGGTTTTCCTGCTGGTTAGTTTTCTTTTATCATTATTAAACACTGCCTATATGTCCTCCAAATGGTCCTTACATTTTGTGGTTCCCCATATGTTCTCAAACTGATTTATAATTTACAAAACATTTAGGGATTTTTCATCTAGTTTTTACATAACATTCAGGGTACTTTTTATAAAACACTTTATTGAAAAGATTCATATAACTTTTTTTTTTTTTTTACATTACAGAAACATTTCATATAGGTCCTTCTCAGCTTGTTTTCAAAACTATGCATGCTGAATAAAACTTTAGGGAATGTTTTGTATCGTTTCTCCAATAGATTTCATTTGAGGGTTCCTTAAACGAATTACACTGTGTTACCTTCAGTGACTTTTGTTTTAACTTTAGAGAGCATTCCTTGTAGGTTCTCAAAATGGATTTTTGTCGTAGACTTTGTGAATTTGTGGGTGTGCGTTCCTTCTTATTCTCTATAAATGATCTGAAATGTATAGCCTTCGAGTAAAGTTCTCTCAAAGCTGCAGTTAATACATATATCAAACTGTTGTTTACAGCAAACATTTTGACACGAGGACAATGGGCGACATTAAACGCGTCCCCGTCGCTGAGCCAATAGGATCAAAGCTTGTTTAAAGGCGTCCAGCGCACGCCGCGGATCCTCACTTCCTGGTCAAAGATGGCGGATGAGAATGAGACAGCACCGATCCCGGAGAAAGAAGATGTAGAGGACCACGGACACTGTAGCGACTGTGAAAATGAAGAGCACCATTTGGACGACGGGTAATGAGGCGTCTTTTTTTCAAACAGGGGCAGTTTGTTGGTTATACTGCATTACTTTACATCGAAACGAATGCTAACCGAAGCTTTAGCGAGAAGGCAAGGCAACTGTCGTTCGTTAAGCCCAGCCTACTTGCTCTCTCCCCATTGGCTAAAAGCGGTGTCTGCGTGTTAACCCTGCAACGTGATTGGTTAATGGTAGACTCCCTTTGGCAACGTAGGTTGGATTTAGCGTCGAATATGCCTACAGCAAGTCGTTGGGGAGGGGGTGGTCGAAGAATGATCAAAGTGAGATTTATATCGCAAGAAATCACATACTTCCATTTGCAGTGTGTAGATTAAATATATATTTTATATTTCATTTTACAAGCTTGTTGCGCGTCGCATCTGGCAGGTGCTGATGGATTTGCTACAGTTGACAGATTTTAGTTAGCTGATCATGCTAACAAAGCTGTCAAACCCTTTTTTTGTCCGAACGTGAATACAAAATCAAAACTGAAAGGAACAGATGCATTTAGATGATAGGGTACCTCTGATTTTCTCCTGTTACCAGTATGTGTTTTTAGCTTTCATTTTAGCCCGTTATGCCTATATGTTCCATAAGCAGCCAAACTCAAAGCTAATGGGGAAAATTGGCTTTAATGAAAGTCTGACTTGGCTTGCTGTTGACCTATCTGTTTACTAAGCAAAGAGCCACAGTACAGGGTTCAATATCATTTCCCTTTTGGGATTAACCTCAATTCAATTGTGACCCCTCCTATGTCATCGCTACTATAAGGTCATTGATTCCAAAATGCAGAATCAATTTCTTTTAAAATCACGTTTTGATCCACAAGGAAATATTTATTATATCACTTAAGTGTGGTCACTTGACTGCCTCCACTCAACTCCAGTGAAAGTGATGACCCTGTTTATTCCAGTGCATCAAATGTGGTCCTCCTCCACCCAACACACAAACAATGAATGGTTCTAGTTGCTATCCTCTCCTCTACTGAAATGGAAGCATGGAGAACAGACTATTGAATTTTTGTTGTTCAATGTCCCTTTCACTCACTGACCTCCTATGCATCCTTTACATGGATTGTGGACATGCTTGGATGCCATTTATTTCTTGTCCAGGGATCATGTGATTCACCATCTGCATGGGGGTGGGGGTGGGGGGGTTGTAAATGCAACCCCAGAGCCTGGCCTCTGTCCTATCTTGGACACTACAGAGATAATCCTCTGTAAGTACCCAGTCATTCTCAGGATGCATCGGAGTAGATGTGTTTCCTTAAGCTTGAGATAACTGGATAAAAATTGTAATAAAAGTCCATCCCATTGTGACTTTATTTGTTCTAGTTTAGCTAATGGATTAGTTGACTGCTTCCTCTCCTCATTTAAGGCTTAACTTGGCACTATGCATGGGTGCAATCTGCTTTTTCAACCTGACCAATAGGAAGGAATAACACAGATAGAAATTAAGTAAATACTGTGTAGATATAGATTTTAACTTTAATATTAATTGTAATGATAATAAAATTGTTTATTCTTTCCCATATTCCAAAATTTCTCTGCTCAGACATTAAATCAACGTTTAAGCATGAGCCTGTCTAGTTAATAATTGTAGTCACTGTAAATTTTTTATTTGTGGTCATGCAGGCTATGCGTAGTAATTTTATTAAAGAAAATATTTGTAGGCACATGTTTATATGTATGGAAATTATTTTATTTGCTTACTTAATGGTCTTCGGAGTATTAAGACCTTATAAAGTAGAAATCAGGAAGATTGCTAATGGTAAGATCTAGATTGACTCATGCATGTTTCTTTTTTCCCTAAGGTGGTTATGATAATTTTGAAATAGAAAAAATTATCCCCACTATGTGCTGGTGATTTATTAATTATTCATTTTAGTGGTGATATTTGAAAACAATTATGCATTTTTCTTACATATACAAATGTAAGAATGACACAGGGATAACAAACATTACACAAGTTTTAATTCAGAAAAAACAGAAACTTTTATTGAAATACCAAAGAAAACTTTAACAACGCATTGCGAAGGAATGCAGCAGCAATGCATGTGTTTCATGTGATTTGTAGCCATGACAGCTGAACACACTAATAAGTCGGATAACGGATGCCTGTATCTGATGATGCAAGTTTATAATAATAATAATAATAATGATAATAATAATAAAACGACCAGCCGGCAGATGTATTGGTCTGTCTTCAAAGAACTGTAGGAAGAAAAAGCATTATAATTAAATTGGTTTCACTTTTTAATGCTTAACAACTTTATTATACATAAAATGTAATTAGATACATACTTATTTATACATATTTTTTGTGTTAAATTTGTGATTTTACTAGTTCGTCAGAAATGCATTTATAAAATTTTTACTAAAGGTAGATATGCTTTTGTATTAAAAAAAAAGGATTGAGACTGAGAAACTTTTTTAGGACAAATCTATTTGTGAACTAATTTGGGAAAAACTTTGAACTTTACACAAAGCAAAATGAGGATGTCTCTACAATGCATTCAATGAAAATGTATCATTAGAACAAGGCTTTCTAAGGCAAAATAAATGTTTTCATGTTTTTCAGTGACCGGGCTGATGACACTGGCGCCAAGAAGAAGAAAAAGAAACAAAAAAAGAAGAAAAAATCTGGTGCCACAGAGGCAGCTCAGGATCCTCTTGCTAAGGCATGAAATAATTTATCTCAGAATTAAAGATCTAAAGTATGGCTTTAAAAATAAAAGCTCTAGTGGAATAGCTTTTCTGAACTGTTAGCCATGAAGTTAATCTAATTCACAAGGAGAATCTTTTATAATTGTCTTGTTTCTTTTCATTTTAAATGAAGTCTTTTAACTGTCTAAACAGGTAAATTCACTGCCAGCTGATAAGCTACAGGAGATCCAGAAGGCCATTGAACTGTTTTCTGTCGGCCAAGGTCCGGCCAAAACCATGGAGGAGGCCAGTCGGAGGAGTTATCAGTTTTGGGACACACAACCTGTGCCCAAACTTGGTATATATATATATATATATATCACTGTCATTTTTTTCTCTCCTCCCATAAAGCAGAGTTTTTTGTGCTGTACTACATGTTTGTGCTTCATGTCGACATTTTTTTTTATCTTCAGGAGAGACTGTTACGTCGCATGGATCCATCGAACCTGATAAAGACCACATCAGAGAAGAGCCATACAGCCTCCCTCAGGGCTTCAGCTGGGACACCCTTGACCTGGGGAACCCTGCTGTGGTAAGATGGAGTAGAATCAGCACACAGTTGCATCAAAAATCTTTTGGTTAAAACATTTTTTTTTCTCTCTATTCCAGTTTGTTACCCACTGTAACCTAGGACGGCAATGCTGCTTACTTTGAAGGGCAGGCTTGAGCATTTTAAAGTCACACAAAGTTTAAGATTCAAGTTTCTAGGAACATGCTTGTTTGCAAAGTAATTCACATCAATCACCCTTTTCACGTTTTATGCTGTTGCAACTACTAACAGTGGTATTTTCACAGGATGGGTTATAGATTAATAACTCCCCTGGTCTTCATGATGCTGTTGCTTATTTTCTCTAATAAATCACTGAGATCTTCTCAAATTAGGTTTAAAAAATTAATTGAATTATATGCTGTGGAATCTGACTAATTAAGGGAACTTCGACTGTAATTGGTTGCACTGGGTTTAAATTAGTGAAAACCATATAAGTGGCTGACTTTCTAGATTTTAACTCATTAATAAGGCCAAAACTGTTATTTTCTCACAACTTTATAATAATGCTTAATTTGGCCAGTCACTTAAAGTTCCAATAAAGCATATTGAAGTGTTCGGCTGTAATTTGACTAAAAGTTTAACTTGATTAAGGCTTCTATTGCTGATGCAATAGAATAGTAAAATAGATTAAATTTGCTCCTGATTATTTTGTGCATAATTTTAGATATTTTTATTCTCAATGTGGGAAGCTGCTCTTAAATTTATAGATAGAAGTTTATAAATTATCAGTAATTAAAGGAATAGTATACCCAAAACATGATTAGCCTTCATTTTCTACTCACCCCCATGCTGAACAACACCCTGGAGTACTTTTTTGATATCTCAAATGCATCTGGAGATCTGGGAGGCTTCTTGCTGTCTGCTGACATTCAAATAATGGAGGTCTATTGTGCCCGAGACAGAAAGGTCCATAAAAGTCCACAAAAAACGTTTCAATATTCCTCCATACTGCTCGTCCAATGTATTCCAAGTGTCCTGAGTGGGTAGCATCCAGAATTTACTCGAAACGAAGTCATTTAGAATGTTTTTAGAGCATAAACAGTAGTGTATAGGATTTCCTGAAAGCGCGCACATGCGCGATCACGACGCTACGGAAGCCGGCAGACCAAACCAGATGAAAGTGCGCATTCAGCGTCTGCTCTGCCAATAATGCAAGCGTAGAAGAAGAAAAGTGCTGTTTACCTGTGCAAAGAAAGAAACAACGAAAGAAAAATGTCTGAGGACTTCAGTGTTGAGGAAGAGCATGAGTTCTTTGCCGAGCTGAATGCGCTGGTTTGGTCTGCCGGCTTCCGTAGCGTCGTGATCGCGCACGTGCACGCTTTCAGGAAATCCTATACACTACTGTTTATGCTCTAAAAACATTCTGAATGACTTCGTTTCGAGTAAATTCTGGATGCTACCCACTCAGGACACTTGGAATACATTGGACGAGCAGTATAGAGGAATATTGACACGTTTTTTGTGGACTTTTATGGACCTTTCTGTCTCGGACACCATGGACCTCCATTATTTGAATGTCAGCAGACAGCAAGAAGCCTCCCAGATCTCCAGATGCATTTGAGATATCAAAAAAGTACTCCAGAGTGTTGTTCAGCATGGGGGTGAGTAGAAAATGAAGGCTAATCATGTTTTGGGTGTACTATTCCTTTAAGTTCTTACCCTTGATGTTTTGTTTTCAGCATAAAGGAGCTGATTTTTCACCAAAAGCACCAGAATTTCTTCTGGGTAGAGCAGTGCTTCATTTTGTCAGGAACATCTTCCTCAGTTCAAGTTTGTTGGGTTAAAAAAACAACAAGCATCAAATTTAAAGAGCTAGAAATTGTTAACAATGTGAAAGCGTTTTTCCACAAAAATAAATTTAATTTTTTATTTTAAACAAACCAACTGGTTTTCTTATTACTATGAGAGATAGAAATTGGTTTCACATGTGAAAACAGAACTGGTCTGACCATTACTGTAGTTTAAGTTACATTTTATTGTCTTTCAGCTTAAGGAGCTCTACACTCTCCTGAATGAGAACTATGTAGAAGACGATGACAACATGTTTAGATTTGACTACTCTCCTGAGTTCTTGCTCTGGTATTTGTGAAAGCTTCCTAAATTCTTTTTGATTAACATTTCAAATTATTTCCTGTGTAAATTTTTAACACCTGGTTCTTGTTTAGGGCTCTGCGACCTCCAGGTTGGCTGCCTCAGTGGCATTGTGGGGTTCGAGTGAACTCCAATCAGAAGCTGGTCGGGTTTATCAGCGCCATTCCAGCCACCATTCGCATCTATGACGTGTAAGTTAACCCGCTTTTATTGTTTCCCACCTGACTTAATATATGCTGCTATCTCCTAATACAGAGCATTATGTTTCTGATTAGAGAAAAGAAGATGGTAGAGATCAATTTCTTGTGCGTCCACAAGAAGCTGCGAGCCAAACGGGTCGCTCCAGTTCTGATCCGAGAGATCACCAGACGGGTCAACCTTCAGGGCATCTTCCAGGCGGTTTACACTGCCGGGGTGGTACTGCCCAAGCCTGTGGGAACGTGCAGGTTTGTATGGCAGATGATGATTCGTTCCTTTTCAACCCGTCTTCATGCCTTGAATAGCAAATAGTTTAATCTACTTCTCTTACCAACAGGTACTGGCATCGCTCTCTGAACCCACGGAAACTAATTGAAGTGAAGTTCTCCCATCTGAGCAGGAACATGACTATGCAGCGCACCATGAAGTTGTACCGTTTGCCTGAGGTTGTAAACTTTAAGATGGATACGGATATGGACACAGATCATCTTTTATCATGTTTTAACCTTCTTTTATTTCTCTTCAGTCACCAAAGACTTCTGGTCTGCGACCAATGACCAAGAAGGATGTGCCAGTGGTGCATCGCCTCCTCCGAGAGTACCTTAGCCAGTTCAGCCTGGTTCCTGCCATGAACGAAGAGGAGGTGGAACACTGGTTGCTCCCACAGGAGAACATTATTGACACATATGTGGTAGAGGTAATGAATATTTCAAGTTTGCTGTGTTTGCATTAATAATTTGCATCGCATTTTCCTGATGATGTTATCGTCCAATAGAACAATTGCAAAGTGACAGATTTCCTGAGTTTCTACACACTGCCTTCCACCATAATGAATCACCCAGTACATCGCAGTCTTAAAGCAGCGTACTCCTTCTACAATGTCCACACCACCACCCCACTGCTGGACCTGATGTCTGACGCCCTCATTCTGGCCAAATCGGTTTGTTTACTTAATTTAAAAGAACAGGAAAAACAAAAACAAACATGAGCTGCTTGTGATACATGTCTTTCTGCTTTTTGCCATTACAGAAAGGCTTCGATGTCTTTAATGCACTGGATCTAATGGAAAACAAGACTTTTTTAGAGAAGCTGAAGTTCGGCATTGGAGATGGGAATCTACAGTATTATCTGTACAATTGGAAGTGTCCCAGCATGGGGGCAGAAAAGGTACATTTCATAAAATAATTGTGTTAAAGTTTCCTGAAAGAATTTTATAAATGTTTGTACTTTTAAGAAGAGGCTTAGGCTACGTTCACATAGCAGCCTGAAGTGACCCAAATCCAATTTCTATTTTTTATTTTTTTGCCCATATCCGACCTATATCTGATCTTTTCATGACAGTCTGAACAACACAGATCCATATTTTCCAAATTGATTCAGGCCACTTGGCTACGTGGTCCTGAATCCGTAATGAAAGTGATGTTTTCAAATGCGAACTGTGTGTGAACGGTCACGTCGCCTTCATCTGATCTGAACATTTTTGATACCCAACAGAGGTCACTATTCTGCATCTTGCTATGCAGAAATAGGAAGAAAAACAACTATGGTGGACGATAATGCAGAGAGCATTCTTTATTTTTTTAACCATCTTGAAAAGGTTGAGTTTTTAAGGTTGAAAAAGATCTCTAGATGCACTCCAGTACTACCATCCACGTTTACTTCTGTAAACAGAGAGCACACTTGCTTGTGATGTCATTGCGTCCTCTACTATGCACGCAGGACACTTGCGTTATATGAATGCAGTTCACACAGGAGATCACATACAAGTCATATAAATAAGGAAATGTGAACTGCAACGCAAGAAATCGGATTTCCCAAAATAAATTGGAGTTTAACATTAGGCATGCGTTTTGAATGTAGCCTTAGTGTCTTTTTTTGTGATTAGGTCTAGATAGCATATGACGGCCAACCAGCACCACCAAACAGCAACCTGAGTCCACTTTGACATCTTGCCCTATTTGATGCTGGTGTGTAAAAGATTTCCTTATTTGTCAAACACGGGCCAAAGTATGACTACACATGATGCTCAACATTCCTCATTTTAGGTTCTGCTTGTAAGAGTTGTCATAAAATACAACTTGTTTCTCGTAATTTTAGGACTTTATTCTCGTAATATTACGACATTATTCTCGTAATTTTATGATTATTCTCGTTGTGACTTTTTTTCTGGTAATATTACAAATTTCTTCTCATAATTTTATGACTTTCTTTTATTCTCATTATTATATTAGTTAATTCTCCTAATGTTACATCTTTATTCTCTAAATTTTATGACTGTTCTCTGAATTTTACGTCTTTATTATCGTAATGTTATGACTTTATTCTCGAAATGGAAGAAAAAAAAAAATCTCTAGCCTGGCCCTAATACTCCGTCATAGTGTCCTCAGGTCAGTTTTGTTCTTCTTTGCTGGTAAAAAAAAATACAACTGCTTAATATGGCAAGTTTTTCATTTTTCTTTTTCGTAATGAAGCATATTTTACCATCTCAGAATTTCTTGAAGGCTTAATTCATTACGTCACATCAAGGGCTTAATTATAAGGTAAAATTTGTTACTCCACTGAACTTGGAAAAGGAAGCTACGTTTAGTTATTTCTGTCCCTAAATAAGCTTGAATTGTTCTAAATTAGGTACATTTAGAGAAGCAGTTCACTTGGGTGGTTCGTGTACCAAGACACTGCTACCAAACTCGGTTACATGTCCAGTTTACCCGATAACTACCTATTCTCCTCACATAACTGAACCAGTACAGACTCTTTGACTCTTTAAAGCATAATAAAATAATAGGACTTGTTGAAAAAAATTAATAAACGAAACAGTTTTTAAAGAGACTGCTAAGAAATGTCACCTCTTTTGGTATATGTACTTCGCTATGGTGGCTTTTAGCCATTTATTTTTCATTTATTTTCCTCAATTTCTCCAGGAGGTTTTCCACTTTTCTCTTTAAATCTTAAAAGTGGTTCAGCTAACAGCTCCATTGCTTCTTTCCTAGGTTGGTTTGGTTCTGCAGTGACATCCGTTTGCACCACAAGAGCGTGTCAACAACGGGACTGAAGACCGCACCATGGACTGATGACATCTTGCTTTCGGGAAAAAATGAAATCCACCACCCATTTTTAGTTTCTGACCTTTTGAACTTTGACCTGCACAACTGCTGCCAGGTGTACAGGGGCTGGGAGAGCCTTCAGGTCCCCCCCACCCCTCGCTCGACCATATGGACAATAAGCCATTGTAGTTTTCATTGCAAACAACTATATTTCCTCTGAAAGCTGTCTGAAATAGCACCACAGCACACACCAACACAACTGAATTCACTCACTCCTGGCCATCTGTTTTCAAAGCTTCAACATGTATATAATAAGACTGACATGACTGCGGTTAATACCCTATTACACATGCAGAGTAGAATCTTTTTGATTTTATCCTTAAATATTGGAAGTGCTAAAATAAAATGCAAATCTAAGTTTTAAAATAGAAAAAAAAAAAATCAAAATGGGTGAAGGGTTTTAAAGAGGAAGCTGAAAAAGATTATATGAAAACCAAAAACAGACTTAAGATAAGGGCTTCTAGCTAGTTTTTTTTTTTTTCTTTTCATGCTTGACCCTTTCTTTTTAGCTCTGTTCCATTAAGGTTGCTCTACAAATTAAACAGAGTTGGTGTTCATCTTTTTTCAAGCTCCCCTCATTTGTCAGATTTTTTGTGACCATCCTTTTGGGATTATTTAACCAAGGAAACATGGAAATGCAGACCGATCATGCATCTGGTTAGCAGGAGGAAGGGGCGGAGGGGTGCAACTCCACACACATTTATCAGTAGGGATGACATATTTTAATTTAAATGTGCACCCGGTTGAATAATGTTACCCCTCGGTTTCCCACAGCATCCTGTGAATATGTTTTCTAAAAATTAATGGCTTTTTAGGGCAAGATCAGGATATTTAATCCTCTTATTCAGCCCAGGATCCAGGTAACTGTCGTGGAAAGTTGAAAAGTATTGTCTAAAGAATTATTGAAATGTAAACCAACATGGAGCTGTCAGAAAGTTTCCAGAAATGTGCCTGCGTTCCAGTCTGCACTGATATTCATGCCAGTTAACTTCATGCGAACGACCAGGACAAGACCACACACTAACATTACCCCCACAGCATGAAATATTTCAACATATCCTACATATTGACTACTTGGCTGCTGTCAAATTGGGTGAGGTTTTATGTGAATGATGGAGTCACAATTTGTAGAGGTGCTGGGTGGATGACGTTGCCTCTAATAAAGTGTTTCTTATGTAAAACGTGGTTTTTGTTTGCAAAAACAAAGGTCCTAAAATTTGATCTTGTGAAAATGCAAAGTTTTTGTGTTTTGCTTTAATCAGATAATAAATGAGTTTAGTAATTGGTGTAGATTTATAACAAATCTAATCATTTTTCTTTTTTTGTTAGTCCTTAATTGGTAGAAAAACGTCCTCAAATTAATCACTTTTTCTTAAGCTTCATGACAGTCTTGGGAATTATTAGAATGATATATACTAAACAATAGCATCTAAAAATACATTTATATTCTGTTGATTAATATTTCATACGCAGAGCCTTTCTTTAGATTGTGTCCCAGCATAGGATCAGATTATAACCACTGACGATATTAACAAGCATAGGTGAGATTTGCGTCTATTTCCATCAATCGGAGCAAAGTTAATTCCCATTTGAACAATCGAGTTTGCAAAAGATATAAATGTAATTAAGAGCAAAGTGTTCTCAGTAGCAATAGGTGAAAATATGAAGTCATGATCCAACAACTACCATTAACTCTATGATAGCCAAAGATTCATTTGCTACTCTTACAAATCTCATCAAAAATATATTTTTCCAGATATCTTCTAGAAATACCATAAAGGCTCAAAGTGGTATAGACACTCTTTGTATTGCTAAATACATTTATACCAGAAAAGGAGGAAGTGAAACATGCAGGTTCATCTCAGGAAATTATGAAATATATATGTATATAATTTTTTTTTAATAATTTAATGAGCCTCATAACCCATTTCACATCGGGTATTTGTATTTAAACTATTAAAGGATTGTTAAAGAGAATTGAGAGGCCTAGAATTACACAATGGAAAGATTTTTTATCCCTTGGATATGCTTTAGTGGACCTTCAAACTTCAAGCCAAAACGTAAAAAAGTTGTTTTTTTATAACTGCTACAGATAGAATTTTTGGAATTGTTTATTTTTTTGTTGGCTATATAGCTTCAGGTTTTTTCAAAAAAATAATATTTTTAAGTGTTTGAAAAGAAAAAAAAATCGAAGCAACCACTGGCATTAATCTTTATGTTGGTATAGCAAAACTGATTTGTAGGTCATGACATAACTAAAATTAAATCATATTAAAACTTAGTAAATATTTGTTTAAAACGCATGATTTATATTAGGTTTAAACTGTTATAAAGGTCAACCTAACTTCATCCATGCATTACAACACGAACACCACGCCCATATAATACTCGTCCCTTATTGGACGGTTTGATCTTACGTATAACCTATATTATTCTCTGATTGGCTACTACACATCGGAACTTACCGACGTGGGGGGTGGTTATAACTGACAAGGAAGTGAAGTCGAACTAGTAGGACTAGTTTGCAAGGATTGACATGATGTTGACTATTTTATTCATTGCTTTTATAGTTTTGGTCATATTTACACTTAAATATGTATTCGGCAGCTCAGGGCCGAACCCCTTCGCGAACGACTGTCGCGAGCCTTTAAAAGAGAAGGTTTACGACAAGAAAGAGAAAAACAAAGTCCTGAAACAGGGTGAGTCTATTTATGCAGACTGAGATTTTACGATCTAGAAACTGCATATATAATCGGAGTAGAAAACTATGCAAGCGTTGAAATAGCTACTTTGTTTTGCAAAAATATGTATAAATACATTAGACCATGATTTTGCTGCAAATCAAAAGTTTGCTAACCAAAACGTGCTTTAGATAAAACACCAAAGCTGTGAGATGTGAGTTATTATAAACATGGGAAATGTAAAAAAAAAAAAAAAAAAAAAGTTAAAAATGATGTTTATATTAAATCTATAATTAAACATAGGCTTATGAATATGTACTTTTATCTCCCTTTTTAACCACTGCTATGTTTCTTAATCAAATGTCTTTATCTGCAGGTTTCCTGGCCAGTAAGGTACCAGACAACCTGGATGCAGTGATCATTGGCAGTGGGGTGGGTGGACTTGGGCTGGCTGTGCTGCTGGCCAAAGTTGGAAAGAAGGTTCTGGTTCTGGAGCAGCATGATCGGGCTGGGGGATGCTGCCACACGTTCACAGAGAAGGGCTTTGAATTTGATGTTGGTGAGATGATTGTTTCATACCCTGCTAAATATGCAAAAAATAAATAAATAAATAAACAAAAATTCTGATCAGAGTTTTGTGATGTTGTAGGTATCCACTACATCGGTGACTTGTTGGACCACAAGCCCTTTCGCTGTATGTTAGACCAGATGACTAATGGACAGCTGGAGTGGGAGAAGCTGGAGAACCCGTTTGATCACGTTATTCTGGGACCTCCTGAAAACCGGCGCTCGTACCCCATCTACAGCGGCAGCGCTCGCTTCTCTGAGGAGCTGAAGAAGCGCTTCCCTGGAGAGGAGAAAGCCATCGATGAGTTCCTAAAGCTGGCGAAGGTAGGGTCCTTTAGTATATGCATGGATTTAGTATATGCATACATACACATACTAGACTATACTAGTATGTGTATGTATGCATATACTAAATCCATCGTCAAAAGAAATAACTTCTCAGTCTTCATTATTTATTAGTTTCAGTCTTTGACTTTCTATGCAAATGCAACAATAACCGTATTTAGATCTTAACTGCCATCTATTAAAAAGCTCTTTTAAGATCACAACATCAATATAAAAAGATCAAAATATTGATGGTGAAGATTCTCAGTCTTCTAGGTCATAGTTATTCCAAAAAAGTAAAAAAAAAAAAAAAAAAAAAATCCACTGGACTTTGTTTCCAAGTTTAAAGATTCCAAGAAGGACGGGAAGTGAAACATCTTCAAATTTGAAAAAAACAAAGTCCAGTGGATTGTTTTTTTTTTTAAATGTTTTGGAGTCAAAATATTAAATATATCAAAGTACATGTTAGACAGAAATGGAACAAGGTTTGTGTGTAATTTCCCATTTATAAACGATGTAACAAAAATAAAAATATAAAACACAACTTGGCAGATTTCAGTCTTTGAACTTCTTTATAAATCTGTGACTGAAAATCCTAAAAAACAGAAAAAACAAAAAGTAATATACAAGTTCAGATCATTTAACAATTTAACCTATAAACTACGGTTGGTGCAAAACCGGTTAAGATTTTTTTTGTTCATATTTATTGCAACTGTTAATTATTCATTAATAGTTCAAGGACAATTTCTCCTTTTTTTCCTTCACAAAAACAACAAAAATGATTTTTTTTTTTCTGCTTACAAAAAAGTAACCCGGTAACTTATACTTGAAGTAAAATTTTGACGGGATACATTTTACTTTTGATTCACATTTTGTAATGGTAACTTTTCTTGAATTTGAGTAATTTAAAAAAGTAATATGAATTACTTTATTTTTTTTGCTCTCTTTTTTTTTTGCTCTCTTTCCACCTCTGCATTACACCAAGTACTGTGCACGATGGCGAGCGCCTGGTGGCCGGGCTTTTACCCATGGGGCCCGGCCGGGCTCAGCCCGAAGAGGAAACATGGGTCCCCCCTTACATGGGCCCACCACCCGTGAGAGGGGCCATAGGGGTCGGGTGCAATGTGTGTTGGGTGGCGGCCGGGGGAGGGGACCCTGGTGGTCCGATCCTCTGCTGCAGAAGCTGGCTCTTGGGACGTGGAATGTCACCTCGCTGGTGGGGAAGGAACCGGAGCTAGTGTGTGAGGCTGAGAGGTTCCGGCTAGAAATAGTCGGTCTCACCTCAACGCATGGTTCTGGTTCTGGAACCAGTCTCCTTGAGAGGGGCTGGACATACTTCCACTCTGGAGTTGCCCACGGTGAGAGGCGCCGGGCAGGAGTGGGCATACTTGTTGCCCCCCATCTCGGCGCCTGTACGTTGGGGTTTACCCCGGTGAACGAGAGGGTAGCCTCCCTCCGCCTACGGGTGGGGGGACGGGTTCTGACTGTTGTCTGTGCTTACGGGCCGAACAACAGTTCAGATTACCCACCCTTCTTGGAGTCCTTAGAGGGGGTACTGGAGGGTGCCCCTCCTGGGGACTCCCTTGTTTTGCTGGGAGACTTCAACGCTCACGTGGGCAATGACAGTGAGACCTGGAGGGGCGTGGTTGGGAGGAATGGCCGCCCTGATCTGAACTCGAGTGGTGTTCTGTTGTTGGACTTCTGTGCTCGTCATGGATTGTCCATAACGAACACCATGTTCAAGCATAAGGGTGTCCATATGTGCACATCGCACCAGGACACCCTAGGCCGCAGTTCGATGATCGACTTTGTCATCGTTTCGTCGGACTTGCGGCCGTATGTCTTGGACACTCGGGTGAAGAGAGGTGCTGAGCTTTCCACTGACCACTACCTGGTGGTGAGTTGGCTCCGGTGGTGGGGGAGGATGCCGGTCAGACCTGGCAGGCCCAAACGTGTTGTGAGGGTCTGCTGGGAACGTCTGGCGGAGTCCCCTGTTAGGCGGAGCTTTAACTCCCATCTCCGGCAGAACTTCGAACACATCCCGGGGGAGGTGGGGGACATTGAGTCCGAGTGGACCATGTTCCGTTCCTCCATTGTCGAGGCGGCTTATCTGAGCTGCGGCCGCAAGGTTGTCGGTGCCTGTCGTGGCGGCAACCCTCGAACCCGTTGGTGGACACCTCCGGTGAGGGATGCTGTCAGGTTGAAGAAGGAGGCCTATCGGGCCTTTTTGGCCTGTGGGACTCCGGTATCAGCTGATGGGTACCGGCGGGCGAAGCGGCATGCGGCTCGGATGGTTGCTGAGGCAAAAACTCGGGTGTGGGAGGAGTTTGGAGAGGCCATGGAGAAAGACTTCCGCACGGCTCCGAAGCGATTCTGGTCCGCCATCCGGCGTCTCAGGAGGGGGAAGCGGTGCAGCACCAACACTGTTTATAGTGGGGATGGTGTGCTGCTGACCTCGACTCGAGACGTTGTGGGTCGGTGGGCGGAATACTTCGAAGACCTCCTCAATCCCACCAACATGTCTTCCATTGAGGAAGCTGAGCCTGGGGACTCTGGGCTGGGCTCTCCAGTCTCTGTGGGCGAGGTCGCCGAGGTGGTTAAAAAGCTCC